GAATCTTTTCTAAATATGCCTTTGCGATAGTTCTAATACCCCATTTTTTCTATCTCGATGAATTTCGATTTCTAAAACCAATGACGCTTCACCAAGATCATTCACATTAAAACTTGAGGACAAAACTTCTTCTCCAATGATGGATTAACATCACTACTAGTGAGTAGAATGTCATCTATTCACAGGATATGGAAAATAAAATTTTCACTCTTAAATTTCGTATAAACGCTTTTGTCCTTCTCATTTTCTTTAAACCCAAACTTTCTTACCATTGTTTCATCAACTTCAAATACTACTGTCTAGAGACTTACTTTTAACCCATAAATGGATTTCTACATGCGACATCCCATATATTCTTTTCTTTCATGACAAAACCTTTTGGATTGTGCCATGTAAACGTTTTTCATACAAATCCCTGTGAGGAATGCCGTCTTTACATCCATCTAAAGTAACTATAAATCGTAATGTGCCATGAACACCATTATGATTCTAAAAAATTTCTTGCATAAGACTAGAGAGAAAACTCTCATTATAATCTATTTATTTTTCTTTGCGTAAAGCATATTGCTACAAGTCGTGCTTTCTATCTTTCCTTTAGAGTCATATTTTGTCTTGTAGACCCATTAACAACCTATTATTTTGGCTCCATTAGGAATTATTTCTAAATCCCAAACATCGTTGGTATTCATCGAATTTATTTCAACTTTATATCTTTCTACAATCCCTTTGGAGTCATATTTTATCTTGTATACCCATTAACAGCCTACTGTATTGGCTCCATTAGGAATTTCTTCTAAGTCCTAAACATCGTTGGTATTCATTTCAACTTTCATAGCTTTTTGCCATTTAAACTAGTAAATGCTTCCCATGCCTTCTTCAAATGAGGTGGGATCACCCTTCATTTGAATTTCTTTACTAACATAGACTTCATAGTCATCAGAAAACTGGTTTACTAATTCTTTGAGACCTTCTGTGACCTCAACTACTGGCACTTTCATATGGGGCTATTGTTGCCCTTCATTGCCAAGAGGCAATTGATTCTACAGGCTCCTGTATCACAAGATCATTGTTTATATTATTCATCTTCTTCGAAGATCCAACAACAGGTGTTGTATAAGTCATACAACATCAACATGTATTGAGAAATTCGTTGTTTTGAATCACTAAAGTGGGCACGCAGTCCCGCTTCTCTTCAAGTCTTAGGTATCTTCAAATATCTTATTTTGGGTTTAATCTGTTAAAATCTTATATGGCGTTTTAAGCACCACCTTAACATCTTTGAGACTGACTACGCTATTTTTCTATCAGAACTTTAAAAAGTCTAGGAATTTAGCTATTTCTCTGCTTAGGGGTATCATTGTTGTAACCGTTGTACTCCTCCGACGATCACATTCATCTTAATTAATCTTTATCTCACTCTTAATGAAGAGTATATTTCTTAATTGATTTTTATATTCTCCCTCTCGAAATATGACACGAACTTTACTACCATAATTTTGATAACTATTCAGAAAGCCTGTAAACGAGGAGACACTTATAACTTACTTCATTCATATGATTATGTCATGTAAACAAAGTTATTTCTCGATCTGTTTAGAAGTACACTTTCCTTATTTCACTTGAAGAACTCAACGAGGTCTATCATTAGCTGTACTTTTGCAAATCACGCTTGCATCTTTTCTTATCCTTTTGGTTAGTATTGACCATAACGATGTATTTCTATTGTGCCACGGTCAATGCTGGAACAAATAGCTACCCAAACTTCTCTCGCTATGTGGGATACAAAACATGTGAATCATCATAAAACTTCTCCCGCCATATAGGATTGACTAGCATAAGTACTATGTCAAAACTTCTCCCCTTGCGGGGATAGATCTATACAAAACTTAGTCATGACGACTTTAATATTCACTTATACTTTATTTTCCAATTAAATCTTTCCGTTGGTTTCAATTTAATCAGAAAATTATTAAACTAACAAAAACTATCCTGAACTGGTTTGACTCAAGCCTTTTCATTCACATACCCCAGCATTGTAGCCCGTTGGCATGCACCCGAGTAATCTTGTCGGCTAAAAGTAAAACATACAATATGCTTCTGCATCAATTCCACATCACCATTGGACAGAAAATAGAATTGATGCATTAAAACTTGAAATCAATATAACTACTCTTCAAAATTAAATTCTTCCATTGGTTCAAATTTAATTAGAAGATCATCATCTTCATCGCAGCGGAAACTTAATAATGAAATACATTTTTTAGTTGAGGAGCATTTCTTGGTTCTTATCTACTCTCTGAAAATTTCACCACGTTGGTGTAAAAATTATCAGAGATTTAAATTTCAAACTTAAATTCGTTATAATATTGTCATCATCAATGTTGGTCAGAAAATGACAATACCATAATCTTACTTAAACAATAATGGACTACTCCTCTAATTTAAATTTTTCCGTTGGTTCCAATTTAGTTAGAGGATAAATATAATCACAATTTGCTAAATATAACTGATCTTCAAATTAAATTTTCCCGTTGGTTCGAATTTAATTAGAAGATAATAAACTTTAAACTTTGCAGCGGAAATATTAAAAAAAAATTATCTACTTTTCATAAGCATTTTACTTTACTCATCTACACTCTGAAAAAATTATCTCGTTGTTTAAAATTTTGACAGAGATTGTACCTCAAACATAGCAAAAATTGTCAAAAACTGCTTCTAAAAATAAATAAAAACCTAAACCATTTGAAACTTCTCATTTGGCCCGCATGCAGAAGCGGTCGCAGACCATTTCAAAGAAGTGTGCCTGTGACCAATGACATGGTTTAGCGGGCATGCTGCGCGCCCCCCCGTGCCGGGCCACAACTTTGGGCTGGGCGGAATCTACAATCCGACCTGGGTTCGTTTCGGCCCGATGACGTTCTAGCCGTCGGATCAGATCTGACGACCGTCCGCGCGTGTCCCCTAAATCAAAACGACGACCTTAGCTGCTCCGGTGAAACCCTAACTCACTCTTCCCCTTCCCCATCTTTCTCATCCCTCAGCGCCGCAGCCAAGCAAGCGAGAGAGAAGAGCAGCAGCGGCTCGCATGGCGGCCGGAGAAAGAAGAAAAGGTACGATGCCGTTGCGGGGCCCCTCGCTAGCGCGCGCGCTCGCCCGTGGCTGAGCGCGCCGCCGTCGAGCGGCCTTGTGGCGACGCCCTGAGCCTCGAGCCCGCATGTCGGAGACCGCGCGGTGGCCCGGCGAGATCTCGGTGAACATCCCGCGCGGTGGCGGTGGTGACAGCAGCGAGGTCCACGTAGGTCCCTCTCTTCATGTTTTCCTCTTGCCGGTTAGTGTTACTTCCGTTTCTATGATCCGGGGTTAGGGTTCGTTCTTGCTACCGGCGGCCCGCGGTCCAGATCCGGCGAGCCGTCGTGGTTTCTATCCTGCAGCGGAAAGCCGGCGGTGATGGCAAGGTAAAATCCCGCCGTCTCTGATTGAGGGTTAGGGTTAGGATTTGGGGGATTTGAAAAACTATTTATCTCTTTCTAAATTCGTTTTTCTTTTCTACCCAAAACTTAGATCTATACCCTAGAAAGCCTGGCTCCGATACCATTGTTAGGTTCTTAGGTTTCATCCAGGTGTAGTACTGATGGTGAATTGCTTACTGGCTGATTCAAATCAAGTAGCAGTTAACTTGGGACAAGGAGACAGAGAGAGTTGGGGAAGCATACCTTCGGCCTTGGCAGAGAAGGTAGAGGAGGAAGTAGCCACCACAGCAGCGGGTACGCAGTGTTGGTGGTGAAGTCCGGCGCAGTGGTGGCAATGTAGAGGCGACGGTGAAGTCGGTGACGGCTTTTCGTCGCTGGCAGCACCACTCTCTCTAGATCGGGTTATGTTTCTCTGTAGGCGGGTTGCGGCGGCTCGTTCATCCTCGTACCTCGTGCCCCGGCCCCAACTATCTTTTTATGGTGCTGTGACGACGGAGGCCACCAACCATAAAGTGGTTGGACGTCCCCGATCAAGGCATTGATACAAGGGCCCAATTAGCCGTTGGACCAATTGGTGGAGATCAAACTAACATTTTTTTCTCTCAAAAAACTAAACCGGAGTTTGAATTGGTGATGGGTGCAGGCAGCAGACAAGGATCAAAGCGCAAGGGGGTACATCAGGTCCGAAGGCGACCTGTTCCTGAATGATGCAAAGCAGCACGCTGCTGATGCTTCAGAATCAGACGCTGCAGGAGATGAGCCCTGGGACTTCAAGGTCCAGGACTCCTACGAATCTTGTTCGGTCCAGCCAGCGTCAGTGGCACTCAAGGTGCTCCTGCAGTCCTACACCGGCTGGCAGCCGGTTCCGCTCCCGGCAGATGTTTCTTTGACAGAAGTTGCTGTTGACCCTGCTGATGATACCGCCTGAAATGTGACCCACTGCAATACTCTACTACACTTTTACGGAATACTCTGCTTGATTTAGCTAATAATATAATAATAGCGTACCCACAGTACCATGCTACTCGCTGTAATAGTACATCGGATGAACAGATATGATCAATAAAGTAAAATGGTTCTTAAAATATCTGAAACCTCAGCTCATCGCAGTTCTTTTCTCACCAAACGTCCAAACCTGTGGATCAAGTTTTCTTCCCATTGGAAGAAGATCAACAGGAAGGGAACCGATATTCAATAGTGCTACCTGATTTTGACCAATTGAGCTCACCCGTTCACAGACATTCTGTATATGCACGCAGTTTTTCAAGCAGCCGAGGTTTGCTTTAGCCAGTTGCAGTTTTAGGCACCTTGTTTCAAAGGGACCAATGCTTCCATAAGCACAAAATGACACATGTATACAAAAACCGTGACCTTCAATTGCCTTGCTCCAGATTAAATAATCCCTTAAACAAAAGGACTTGGAGTTGAGGATTCTCAGGGTTCCTTAGTTCTAAAGGCAGTATAAATGTTATGTGCAGGCACCTGCCATGTTAAGTTCACTAGTTGTAAAGCCATTCCGAGGGCATAGCCATGGTATGTTCAGGAGCATCCTACTCGAATGACTTGGTACTACAATCTACATCTTATGGTTCATCTTGAAGTCTTGATTCTTTTACGTGATATTTGTAGGATCACCAAAGCGAGGATATTAAGTACGAAGAGGTCGGTTCTCTTTACCATAGCAATCTGGTCGTGGTCGCCTTGATGACCAATCACTTTTGCTGAGACCCTAACTTCCAACATGCAGGAGTTTGTTGTGAATTCCCGAGGGCAACAAGCTGTTCACTTGCAGATGGACACCACAGAATTGTCAGCCAAAAGCTTTGATCTTCATCTGTCATGGTACCAATGCAAACTCTCCCTCTGTCTCTGTTCAACCAGTTGCAAAGCATACTAGTTACTACTATCGCTCTTGATTTATCTTCTGCAGGAATTGCAGCAGAGTGTAGCATATCAATGAGGGGTAACAATACCATCCTCTAAAAACTATCGATTTGACTAGTATTGTTGAAATTCTTCCAAAGAGACTAGTATTGTTGAATAACAGATATGGATAAAACATAGTAGTACTAACACTAACAAGCTGCACAAAAACATCCAGATACCGCGGCTCGATTGGTGCAGGCAGGATATGGTGTTTACGGGATAGATCATGAGGGCCATGGCAGATCATCTGGAAGCAGGTGCTACATACCAAACTTTGGCGACATCATCGCAGATTGCTCCAGTCATTTCACAAGTATCTGCGGTATGAACTGAAGAGCGTTGCTGATTTGTTTCGATGACTGGGCATCCAAACATAAAGATACAGATACTGAACCATGATGACACCTGATTTCAGAGAAACCAGAGAACACAGGGAAGAAGAGGTTCTTGTACGGCATTTCCATGGGCGGGAGCGTGGCTCTTCTCCTCCATAGGAAGGCACCGGACTACTGGGACGGCGCCATCCTGCTTGCTCCTATGTGCAAGGTCATGGAACAGAGCAAGATGACAATGCTTGCTTTCAGTTTCCTTCTCAAGCCTGTGGTATCGGGCTTGTTTTGTACAGTAGGAGTGCTTTTATTGCTGTGGTTAATCTGACAGTTCCTGTTTCGTGATCATACTCCCATATGATATCAGATCTCTGATGACATGAAGCCTCACCCAATATTGGTCAGCGCTCTAAAAATGATTTGTGCTGTTGCGCCTAGTTGGAAGATCATACCCACACCTGACATCATTGACAAAGTCTGCAAAGATCCAGAGATGAGAAAAGAGGCGAAGACACAACCTTATATTTATTTTTTTTTAAAAAAAAACTTAGATTTACGCAAAATAGAAAGTGAGGATACCAGGAACTGCCCATTGATTAGTAATTTGCATAGGTTGCATAATTATATAATTGAGTTGATATGTAATACTAGTTTTTTTTCTTCCTGATTTTATGTGCAGGTTCGTTCCAATCCATATATATACAGAGGAAAGCTCCCCCTGAAAACTTGTCATGAGCTCCTGATGGTCAGCCTAGACATTGAGAAGAACTTGAATCAGGTAATTCCTCTTTTCCATTTTCCTGGTTAGGAAACTACTCTACTGTTCCAAAGCATGGTTAATATTTTTCAGTTTTTATTAGGTGACGATGCCATTCCTGGTCCTGCACGGTGGAGACGACATCGTGACCGATCCTTCAGTCAGCAAGCTGCTATTCGAGAAAGCATCGAGCAAGGACAAAACCTTCAAGCTCTACCCTGGGATGTGGCATGCGCTGACAGCTGAACTCCCTGACGACGTTGAGCGTGTGTACTTTGACATTATCACTTGGCTAGAGGAAAGGGCGATTTGTACAGCTAGTGTTTCTAGTGCCACGTCACGTGTCTAAAAGATGCTAAATATGTCAACTATTCTCTATCAATACATAGATCTGCCGATCTCCTGCCCTTGCTTTAAAAAAGAAGAGAGAGAGATGCTAAATATGTCATGGCAGATACGTATGCCGTGTAAAGCGATGGTGGGAGCTTCCCATGCAGGAGAAAATAAAATTGACCTGTGCAATGGGAAATGATAAGATGTTTGAGTTTGATTGATTCCTGTAAGGTGTTCGCAAGACCGATATTTTCTGCGAAGGTGGTACGAGGAGAAAGTTATACTACGTTTCCTTAGTGTTGAAGACTGAATTTTCTCTGACATTTAGAGACCAGTCCTCGTCGAAATCTTCTGCTGACTAGTAATTGTCTTCACACAGGTGCAGTATATATATGCTGTTGTGCACATTGTGCTGTCGTGCACATTGATCGCCTGGACATAATCATACGGCATTCAGAAACATATTTCACATGGTATATTCAGAAACAATCTGCTCTTGTTTCTTCAAGTTTCTTTTGCCTCCTTGACTCTCAGCAGTTGGTTTTCTGAATTCTGCAGGCTCAGTACAGAGATAATATCAAGTATGAAGAGGTTAGTCTAGTCCTACTGCAATTCTCTTGAGCAGTTCAATTTCTGACCTGGATTCTTTCTTTTGATTCTATCGGTGTAGCAGTATTTGCTAACATATTTGTGCACAATTTGGGCAGGACTTCTTTGTGAATTCACGAGGAAACAGGCTCTTCACCTGCAGTTGGACGCCGAGGAAATCGGAGAGCAGAGCTCTGATCTTTATCTGCCACGGTACTGACATCTCCTCCTCCTTACAATCATTCACTTTGCCCCTTGGCTATGCTTTGATTTGAAAACTAAAGAGTAAAACTTCCTTTTGTGTTTGTGGCTGAATTTTGCCAGGGTACGGAGGTGAGTGCAGCATATCCATGGGAGGTAAACCTTCAGTTTCACTTTCATGTTCTTTTCATCAGTGAAAACCATGAACTCTTGACATGGATGGATGTATACTCACAAACTTCCATAAAATACAGATACTGCTGCTCGATTAGTACACCGTGGATATGCTGTTTACGGAATCGACCACGAGGGCCACGGTAAATCTTCAGGCTCGAAAGGCTACATATCGAGCTTCAGCGACGTCGTCAGAGACTGCTCTGACCATTTCAAGAGTGTCTGTGGTGAGAATGAAGCTGTGAATTCCAGTGGCTATGTATGCAAAATGCAAATCACAGCCCAGCATGGGATCTCCATGTATCTGTTAACACATGCCCATTGCATTTCCAGAGAAACAGGAGAACAGGCTAAAGAAGAGGTTCCTCTACGGCTTCTCCATGGGAGGAACCGTGGTGCTTCAGCTCCATAGGAAGGACCCTCTCTATTGGGACGGTGCCGTGTTGCTTGCCCCTTCCCTGCCACAGACATGATTGACAAAGTCTGCAAAGATCCCCAGTTCAAGAAAGAGGTAACGAAGAACAAACATACGAGAATAATTTGACTCTTTAGAATGTGAAGTTCGTGCTCTTCTTCATGGCATTTTCTTTTCTCCATGAGGAAAGCATGTTGCAAGCATGCACTTTTGAGATGTTGAACACGTATTCAATGCTCTTTCGTGCCTGATGAATTCGTGTGCAGATCCGTTCCAACCCGTACATGTACAAAGGAAACCTCGCCCTGCAAACAGGCCGCGAACTCCTCTCCGTCGGCCTAGACATCGAGAAGAATCTGCACGAGGTGAGTTTTTCGCCATCAGTTAGGCTACCACATGCAGCAGCATTGGTAGCATGAATCTTGCCGCTGAATCGTTGATCATGCGATTTCTGCTATACTTTTGAACCATCCAACGCAACATCTCGCAACTGATTGGCTGGCAGGTCTCGTTGCCGTTCTTGGTCCTGCACGGCACCGACGACGTCGTCGCTGATCCTTCTGGGAGCAAGTTGCTGCACGAGAGGGTGTCGAGCAGGGACAAGACGCTGAAGCTGTATCCCAGGATGTGGCACGTGCTCATGGGCGAACGGCCGGAGGACGTCGAGCGCGTCTTCGCCGACGTGATCTCGTGGCTCGACGACAGGGTGGGCGGTACAGCTACCGTCCCCGGCGGCACGACAAATCCTCATGAGCTAGTAGAGATGTACTAGAATAGAACACGCAGGTTGTAAATAAGTTACACGGATGTATTGAGCCTTTCAAGCATTTTGAACACATAGGTTAAATATTCTATTCGTTCCCAAAGTTCAAATAAAAAAGTTGTAAATGTGGCCGAGCTCTAGCGCTACACAGTTTCATATAATTTTTTTTTATCTTCATCTAACCTGAAATGAAAAGGTTACATATTAGAAAGTGTAGTTGTGGCACATGAAATAGTTCATAATCTACACAAATCAAAGGAGAAGGGAGTAGTTCTGAAGTTAGATTATGAAAACGCTTATGATAGGGTCTTTTTGTTTGAAGTCTTAGAGTCAAGAGGCCGGGTTCTCTAACAGATGGGTTCTTTGGATTAAACAATTAGTCACTGGTGGATCTTTAGGAATTATGGTTAATGGTGAAGAAAGCTCCTACTTTAAACCTGGTAAGGGTCTAAGACAGGAAGACCTACTCTCTCCCCTATTATTCAATTTAGTGGGTGATGCTTTCTCTAGAATGTTAGATAAGGCTGCTAGAAGCAGTTTGATTCAAGTGGTTCTTACTGATTTTAGGGAGGGAGGTATCATGTCTCTTCAATACGCTGATGACACCATTTTATTTAGTAGTGCAGAGCTCCCTCACCTCTTGAATCTTAAACATGTGATCATGTGGTTTGAACAGATTTCAGGGATGAGAGTAAACTTCCACGAAAGTGAACTCATTACTCTAAATCTTGATGAAGTAGAGACTAGGAGGGCTGCTGAAATCTTTAATTGTCCTATTGGGTCCTTCCCTTTAAAGTATTTAGGTGTCCCACTTCATTTTGATAATTTGACTAGGGAGGATCTACAGCCGTTAGTTGATAAACTGATAAGTAGGATAGCTAGGTGGAGGGGTAAACTCTTGTCCCTGGCTGCTAGAACATTATTGATAAGGACGTGCTTAGCTAGTATTCCCATTTATTTGCTCTCTTTTATCAAATTTCCAAAGTGGGCCATTCAGATCCTCAATTCCCATATGGGAAACTGCTTATGAAATGATTTAGAGGATGCACACAAATATCATTTGGCCAATTGGGAATCTGTTGCAATGAGCAAAAAGTTTGGAGGTCTGGGGGTTCCTAATTTGAGAGATCTGAACATTTGTCTGCTAGCCTCTTGGCTAAGGAGGTATGAAGATGATAGAAGTAAGCTTTGAACAGAGATTTTAGATTTCAAGTACAGAACTAGGGAACCTAACATTTTTCAGACTAACACATTAGGTGTCTCTCCTTTTTTTAGGGGTTTCATGTAGGCTGCTCAAGCAGCTAGAATGAGTTATAGATGGTTTATTAGGAATGGTGAAAAAGTAAGATTTTGGGTAGACAATTGGTTAGGCTCCTCGAGTTTAGCTATTCAGTATTGGAAACTTTATAGATGGTTAAATGAGAAAAATATGACTGTAGCGAATCTTTGGGATGGTTCTGAGATTAAATGCACTTTTAGTAGGATGGGTGATGAAAACATGTTGGAGCTTTGGGATGAAGTATGTCAAATTGCCTCAACTATTAGCTATAGTAATGAAAGAAGATTCCATGGTATGACAGTTTTCCTCTAATGGTAGGTTCAATGTCCACTTCTTGTATAAGATTATTAATTTCAGAGGCATCCAGCCCGTTTTCATTTCTTCCATTTGGGAGATCAAAATTCCCCCTAGAGTTCAATACTTTCTTTGGCTGCTTAGTAAGAACAAACTCCTTACTAGGGATAATCTGAGTAAACGTAGGAAAGTGGAGGATCCAACTTGTTTGTTATGTAATGAGTAGGAGTCTGTGCAACATTTGTTTTTTAGTTGTGCAGTTGCTAAGCAACTTTGGCATGTTTTGTCCAAAATCTTTGGCATTCAGTTAGTAACTTCTTTTGAAGATATTGAGAAGTTTTGGCTAAGTAACAAACGTAATGGAATTTTGAATCTGTTTACTTCGGCTGCGGCTTGGAGCCTTTGGAAACTGAGAAACGACTTATGCTTTCAAAGATCCACCTGGAAGAGTATGGCTATACTCCTTTTCCAGGTAGCTGTGATGGCACAAAAATGGATGATCCTTTATCCGGAGGAGAAGAAGGAAGCCATTACACAAAAGGTGAAGCTGTTTAAGGAAGAAGCAGTTCAGGTGCTTTGGCTTCAATGGAGATAGCGGCTGGGGAGGACTGGAAAATGGCGGGAGGCGATGAACTCAAGCAGACCTCAAGATGTACCCAGTTGAAGCTATTTCGCGGCTGAAGATGGTATCATGGTCATGGTGTTATCTGTCATTTTTGGTTCATGTAGTAAAGGCTGTTTAGAGTTTGTCAGCTGAACTGTAGCGTTAAGGTTGATGTAATGATGGGTTAAATTCTGGACTGAACTGAGTGTCAGGTGGTATCTCCATGTGCAGTGTTGTAATAAGGACATATGGTCTGTTGACCTTTGCCCTGTTCGCTTGGTTGATAAGCCATGTCTGAAAGTATTGTTGGTTGATTTGTTGTGAGAGAAAAATATTGTTCGTTGGCTGAAAAAGTACAGTTTATAAGTCAAAGCGAACAGGACGCTTGTGGTTAATAGACGGGGACAAGGCCCTAGAATTCTAAAAAAATGAAAAGGTTACGTTTTTTAAGATAACCAGCACAAAGGGAAATTTGCCAACTAAATTGATGAAATTTAAATACAGTTGGCTATAGGAGTATATTTCTGCACAGACTCAGTGATAGTTTTATTTACATTAAATATTGTGACACATCAATATATTTTATGACTCGACATGTTAATTACGAAAAAGTGATAGAGAGTTTTATAGAGTTTGATCACTCGGTAAGTGCAGGTAGCTAGCACTGCTGAGAAAGCTGTATATTAGATGCATGATTACAATTTAGGAATTAGGATAGAGGGAGTACTACTCATTTCTCTTATTTTGCAAATCATAGTAAAAAAGTATTAAATTCTAGAATAAATCTAGAAAAATATATATATGTGAGAACTTTATTTTATATGGATAAGTTTCACCCTAAGAAGCTGAACTAGTCGAGCGTAGGCCATGACCACTGCTCCTAGTCTCCTACTAGTCTGGAAAAGGAGATGTTTTACGTCTTTATTGCTAGTGCTGATTGAACCAGCAGCCTTGACCATGATGCGCGCGCGCTAACCAACAGCAGTGTCCACAGACCACAGCCGCTGGTGGGTCAATAAAGGGAATGAAAAGGGGGGCGGCAGTTTGCACCATTTTGCTTCAGTCTGACGGAAAGACGTTATGTTATGGCCGTGCCGGGACAGCGACATGCCGTCTTCGTCTCGCATCATGCACGTTGTCATTCACGGCCTCGGTTTAGCTTGTAATATAATCCTGCAGGTTTTCATATCCAAATCTGCAAGGGCGGCGCACTGACATACGAGTACGTCGGAGGAGCACGTAGGTTGGACGGTGAAGTGTGAAATGAATAATGCAAGATGGAACTGCCGGGGCCGCGCATGGGTCAGATCTGAACTTCTGAAGTATCTGAACTGAACCCTTCCAAGTCAGCGTCCAGCGGCTCCCTTCCATTGCACATTGCAGCGAGAGGTTTTGCATTTCGCACCTTGTGCGCCTCGTTTTTAAGCGGAAGATAACTCGACTCTCTTGATAGTGACCCTGTAACACAAATGAGGTTCCACATCTCGATCGCATACATTTACAGCAGACTCCGTGATGATTAAGCAAAACAAAATAGTTCGTGCAAAAGTTGGTTCCATCCAATGCTTTAGTAGTTTAGTTACGAAAACCTTCAGGAGATCATATGAGAAGTTATGGAATCCAATACTAAGGATTCGTAGCATACTTCAAAATAGTATACTCTCTCACCTTTCCTATAAAAGAGTGTCATTCTATCATTTTTCAAAAAGTATTATTATATAGTTAACTAAAATCCCACTACTAGTATTCCATCCGTTTTTATTTACATATCGTATTAAGTTTGTCCTAAGTCAAACATTGTGTTTTTTACCATTAATCCAAAAAATATATATATAGGTTCATGACATAAAACTTATGTGGTTAGGTTCACTATGAAAAATATTGCCATGATATATAATTCGTAACTTGTAAAACTATAAGAATTTTTTGAATCGGATAGTCGAAGATAGTAATGTTTGACTTAGGATAAATCTAAAGTGACATGTAAAAAAGAACGAAAAGAATATCTCTTATCTATTTCGTTTATTTTGTGTTGCCTCACCGAATAAACTGGCGCCATTGCCAAACAAGCTATGGTGCCTTAGTTAATGATGAAGCATATACCATATTAATGAGGAGTATTTAGATTTTTGTCACATCACTAATCTATCCTATAAAACCTGTAAAACATCATATTTTATGTGACAACCCTTTGTTCCAAATTGTAATGTGATTTTTCAAATTGGAAAATCAAGATGCAACCCTTTTTCAGTCTATCTGGACCTTTTTTATAATATAGGAATTAATTTAAATATAATATTCTAAGTATTTCATTTTTTTCTAGGAACATAACGTCAAAACATTCCTTGACTTGAATAAAATCTGGAATTATATTATGTAAGTGAACATAAATTTATTATCGCTCAACGAGTATCTTCCATTTCATAGAAATTAGGGGTTATATAGTCCTTATATAAGGGCTAGACTATCCAACTTTCAGGAATTAAGATACATTTAGTTTAGATGCATAATTTTCATTATACATCTATACATTATATCTAAAATTCTATCTATAAAAATGCCAAAATATCTTATTTCCTCCCGTCCAAATATAAAACGTTTTGGTTTTTTTTAGATACATTGATTTTACCATATATCTAGATATAGTATATATATCTAAATGCATAGCAAAAAAAAAGCCAAAATGTCATATAATTTGGAAATTTGGAATAGAAGGAGTAATTCAGAATACTAATTAGCTGTGCGATATTTGTCACACTCAACAATACAAAACTCTGATTAATACTCCTACGTTACACTGACTCGTTCAAAAAAAAAGGTATCACGTCGCGTTGTCGCTGTTCACTCATGCCTTTGAGCATTTTTTTGTTTGAACTGGTCTGATATCTCATTCTCATGAAGCAAAATCTCAGAGCAGGAGTATTTGCTAACACGATTTTATAGTTGATCAACGAAAAAGCAAATCATCGGAGGGCCAATTTGCAAGGAACGAAGAAAAATGCAACCTTGCACTGTTCCGCTCGTTTCTTCTCCACCCCCTGCCCACCTCCCACACTGACCACCACCATACCAGGTCACCAACCACGCACCCGCCTCCGCCTGGCCGCGCTCTCCCGCCATGAAGCAGCTGCACAAGTCTTCCCCCACCCACGCGCCATCGTCGGCGCACGCGCCGGCTCCCAAGGCGGCCAAGCTGGCGCGCCCCGGCCCGCGCTCCTGGATCGGGTACGTCCTCCGCGAGCAGCGCCTCCTCTTCGTCCTCCTCGGCGCGCTCATCGCCTCCACCTTCTTCCTCCTCCGGCCCTACCTCTCGCTCTCCCCGTCCTACCACCTCCCCGACGCCCGCCCGCTCTTCTCCTTCGCCGCCCGCTCCGGTGTCCCCGCCGGATTCCGCCCGCCGCCGCGCCGCGTCGTCGTCACAGGTGGGGCAGGCTTCGTCGGCAGCCACCTCGTCGACCGGCTCCTGGAGCAGGGGGTTAGCGTGATCGTGGTCGACAACTTCTTCACCGGCAGGAAGGAGAACGTCGCGCACCACCTCCGGAACCCCAGGTTCGAGCTGCTCCGCCACGATGTAGTGGAGCCAATTCTTCTCGAGGTCGACCGGATCTACCACCTCGCGTGCCCCGCGTCGCCCGTGCACTACAAGTATAACCCAATCAAGACAATTATATCCTTCACGAGTGGATCTCACCGGTTGATTTTGCTTACATTGAAAGAGACTTGTTCTGATCCCATCGTCCTCTTCTCTTTTTGTATTTTTGGTGGTATAGGTGGGTGGGTGGGTGGGTGGCGGGCGGGTTAGTGTCAGATATGAAATGGAGCAAAATTGGGGATCTGTAAGGAAGGATAATGTTCTGTTTGATGCGATCACCCAGAATGGAGCATCTATATGTTCTCCAGCCAAAAAGTTAAAGCGGATATGGCTAAAGATCCGTTTAGATAAAGATCATCTGTTTGCTCTGGTTTAATTGAATACAGTTAGAATGAATTGGTAGAGGATGCTTTGCCGTAGATTCTTGAAATAATTACTTCTGTTTCTCGGTATATATGACTTCAGTTATATGCACGTATATGAGGGGAAAGTTGTCGCCAACTTTTGCAGCTTGTGTCCATTCAGTATCCATATAAATGTTGTGTTTCTTTTGTCTCAAATTTGGACTTCTTAACACTTCGTACAAGACAAATGTCATGGGAACTTTGAATATGTTGGGTCTGGCAAAGCGAATTGGTGCAAGGTTTTTGTTGACTAGCACAAGTGAAGTTTATGGTGATCCACTTGAGCATCCACAAAAGGAGTCATACTGGGGGCATGTTAATCCTATTGGTAATTAATATGTGCTCTCCTAGATATTAAGCCCTTAATTCTGTTTTATGCCTCACATTTCAACTTCTGAAAATCAATTTCTTATCCTTTTCAGGTGTTAGGAGCTGTTATGATGAGGGGAAGAGAACAGCCGAGACTTTAACTATGGACTATCATCGTGGTGGTGGTGTTGAGGTAATACTCTAGTCTTTGTGGTCAAATGTGGTATCTTGTACCACTATGGACTATGCCGAGAACATTTTTTTATATAGACTATTCAAGCCTTTTTTTTTTTTCATTTACTTAAGTGGCAAAATAAGCAAACTCAATCAAACACAACCTAAACTTGTTAAGGTATCATAACTGATCTATTATGTTTGGTTCTTAATTATTGAAAACATATAGAATGACATAGTTTTGTTATGGACGGATTATTGTGGGAAGCTAGCAGCCTTGAACATTATAATATTGCTATTTCGTGATCGGCATCTTGGATTTATTCCATTAACAGTATATAAATTATACTGCTTCATGAGACAAGTTACGACTAATATGATTCATTATTTACATTAACATGTTGTATATACAGTTCTGTTCAATTAATCTTCTGGTGGAATAAAACAAAATACTGCAGCTCTTTATTAGCTTTAAATCGTTATCACTTCTTGAATATGTTTTACTAACTTGAATAGTTAACAGGTGCGCATTGCCCGCATTTTCAATACATATGGTCCTCGTATGTGCCTTGATGATGGCCGTGTCGTCAGCAATTTTGTTGCACAGGTTTGTTTGCTACATATTATGGACTATTTTTCGTAGTTGTGATTTATTATGCATGTAAGCATCCATGTGATTGTCCTTGCAGGCACTTCGAAGACAACCAATGACAGTTTATGGTGATGGGAAACAAACTCGAAGTTTCCAATATGTTTCTGATCTGGTAAGCACTGAACAGTCTTAGGGGGCGTTTGGTAGAGCTTCTTGGACGGCTCCTGGAGCTGTTTTAGCGCTTCTCTTACCAAACGCCCTTTCACCAACCGCTCCTCGCGAGGAGTCCTGGAAATAGTGGTGACTGAAGCTGTTTTGCCCAAGTGAAGCCGAAAAAACTAGCTTCATTCGGCTCTCTGTCAGTCCTGTGGCAGAGCACGCAGCCATGGACTAGTTTGCCCCGGGGGCGTGAGGAGGGGCCTCCGGGCTGCAAGCGACGCCGACGCTGGCGTAGAGAGGGGCAGAGGCAGCATGGGGAAATGAGGGATGGAGAGGCTGGCGTGGGGAGGGGCGTCGGCGGAGTGACGCGAGGCGGGGCAGGTGGGGGTGGAGGCCATCGCGGGATGGAGGAGGAGGCCGGCTCCTAGGAGAGGGCGCCATGGATGGAGGCGAACGAACGGGACTCCTTTTCGAGCGAAGAACGATGGGAGAAGATAAACATCGTCCAAGCGTGCGGTCTGCTGGAGATAAGGCCGCTGTCTGGTGGAGCCGTGTAGATAAGGAGAGAGAGAGAATAATAAATAGAGAGGACAAGGGAAGAAAAAATGAAAGGAAAAAATAAAAAAAAAAAAAGAAAGAGAAAAGAACTCGTATTATTTTGATGTTATATTCTGTTTCAAGGGAAATACCCGTATTCTTTAGTGAAAAATCATGATGACCTCACTAATAAACTCATATTACTATTTAACATCAAACGATGAAATTTAAGAGATAGGGGTACTATAGACATGTGATATATTTCATCCATTCTAGAAAAACAGGCGAAGTTGTTTTGCCAAACGTTTTTCAAAAGGGCTCTAGCTTTTTCAGAGAAGCTGCTCCTTTAGAGGTGCCGAAGTCAGAGCTGTTTTCAGAGGAGCCGGAGCCCTACCAAATGGGCCCTTATTATGCATTTGCATGTGTGAACTGTGATCATTACCTGCGGATCTTTTGTGCTGTTGTTCCCTACTGCAATTTCACTGACTGGGCAACAACTCTTCTGCAGTTGCATATCTTAGGTTGCTGGATTATATAAGTTGTTCGTAATCTTGCTCCATGTGTTCTTAGGTTGCTGGATTGATGGCTCTAATGGAGAGTGACCATATTGGTCCTTTCAACTTGGGAAACCCAGGAGAGTTTACCATGTTGGAGTTAGCACAGGTTTGTAGACAATTTTTTTAATATCCTTAAAAGTGCACACATGACAATCTCACGTTCCCTAGGTTGTGAAGGAAACAATCGACCCAATGGCAACCATTGAATTCAAACCCAACACAGCTGATGATCCCCATATGAGAAAGCCAGATATCACCAAGGCTAAGCAACTGCTACATTGGGAGCCAAAGGTCTCTCTCAAAGAGGGCCTTCCGCTAATGGTAAAAGACTTCCGTCAAAGGATCTCGGATGAGTAATCAAAGCAATCCTATGATACTGGTGACCGGTTTGATTCTGAACAATGCCGCAAATACAGTCAGAAGCTCTTCACCGATTGGAGCCATGAAGTACAATGTACTGTGTACACAATAGACTGTAGAATCACACAGGCCCCATTTGGAATGTGGGGATTCCATAGTATTTCTACGGGATAGTACAATTTCTGTGAAATAGCTGAAAAGTTCATGGGAAGTTCGTATTAATTTTTTGTATCTTGGTGAGGCAGAACAGAAGCAGTCAATTATTTTTTGTGCATGTGTGAGATTCCAGAATTGTGGGTGGTGAGAGATAGGATACAATGCTGTATTTCAGGAGCTTTTGTAACACAGAACATTCATCATGTGAAAAATGTAATTGAATATGTTTGCCAGCTCACTCTTGTTCTTGTATATTCAACTGACAGTCCACAAATTTCCCTTTTTCAATATGTTTGACAGAAAAAAAATTAACACAGTCTTATATACAGTATCTGAGCAATTTTCTGGATACATTCGTCATCAGATGTTGATTTTCGAAAACATCGAAGCTTACTTGCAAGTTGCAACATGGTAGGTGTTTCTGCAAATTCTGTAGCCTTCTACTTGAGATGCACATTGAAACTGAGCGCTCTGCTCGAGCTGACATTCCCACCGATTTCTGGTATATCAGCAACTCTGACAACGGCAAAACCGGTGGCGTCACTGTACCGCCCCGTCCCTCCAACAACCGCGATGTGAGACTCCTCCTGATCGTCGCGGCGGACGCCGAAGAACCTGAGGCTGTCGTCCGCGCCATCGCCGGCAAACGAGGCCTTCACGGCCACCATATGGCTGCTGTTGTCTGCCAAGCTGGTGACGACGACGCCCTGCAGCCTCCCATCCAGAGGCAGCCCAAACTCCTTCCTGCCGCGGAGCTGCTCGTCGATCACGGTCACCGCGCCGGGCCGGAGTGCGTCTGGCCTCGTCAAGGCGCGCAGCCAGCTGCCGGAGTGGCCGATTGGCCCCTGGTTCGTGAAGACCGGATGCCGCGTGGAAGGAGAAGGAGGTGTGGTTTTCGGCGATGCGACGCCGGTGGTGTACAGCGTGATCGTCTGGCCGGAGCTGTGGGACGGGGGCGGGGAACTGTGACGTGCCGGAAGGGCGCTGGCTACCGTGCTCGTCATCGTCACGGCGAGTAGGAGTGCGAGAGCAGTGCAGGCTTGCTTGAGGATGCGAGTGCGAGATTGTGCGTGCATCTTGGCCCGCCCGGCCGCCCGTGCATATTTGTTTTGCGTTTGATTGGGGCTTGTTTAAGTGGTGCCTGCAAGGATTTGGTTTAGGTGGTGAAGAGGGCAGATGAGTAAACAAGTAGGATCAGGGGAGTTGGTTGATGAAAACTACTCCATTAGGAATTTACGACTATATTGGATTAGTAGAAACAATTTTCAGAATCAGCTTTGCAATCCGCTGATTTTTTCCGCTCCGCTCGCGCATCCTGTCCCGTCACAGCGTCTGCGTGTCTGGAGGACTCGCCTCGTACTCGTAGCCCGCCCTATCCGCCTCGATCCCGTTCGCCCCACCCCACACTCGCGCTCCGATCGCTGGCCTTACGCGCCCCCCGTCCGTAGGACACCGGTGCCCCACGTGCCCCGTCCGGTGGCCCCCAGCTCGCTACGCCCCATTCCTCAGTGCCTGCGCCGTGCCACCATCACTCCCCATGCTCTCTGACTCTCCAAACAACATGAAAGATGGGCAACATGAAACACTTGATTGCAACATACGTATGCAACAGATAAAACATTTGGAACATACACTTGCAACATATATGTGAAACATATGCAATATCCAGATAAAAACATTTGCAACTTGCAACATGAAAGCACTTACTACAACATAAGACTGAAACAGATGAAACATTTGAAATATATTGTTGCAACATATTTGTGAAACATATGCGACATCCAGACCAAACGATTGCAACATACGTCTGAACAGATGAAATATTTTGAAGAAACCTCTAAAACACTTGCAATATATGCAACATGTAACAACACCCCAATCTACTTTTACAACATCCATATGAAATAACTGCAACATACCTCTGAAATGTCTGAAACACTTGAAACATACGCTTGCAACATGTAGCTTCCATCTAAAGATGTCAACGGGGCCCGTTTCACGATTTCCCATGGGGAATTCACCCATTAGGGGAGGAAGATGGTACAAATTTTCTCCCCATGGGAAATTAAATGGGGAAAATCATCCCCATCGGGTATGGCGGGGGCGGGGATGGTATGCATGCCCCCGTCCCCGTTCACCGCGGAGACCCAAAATGTTTAAGGCCTATATGAGAAGGCACAATTCCTGGGTACATATAAGGCAATTTGTAACCCTAACCTTATCCTTTCCAGTTTCCATTCGTTCCCAAATTCTCAATCCCCTCCCCCGTCCCCCCCTAGCCGCCGCTGTCCGCTGAGCCGCTCCCTAATCCCTATCGTGACTCGTGAGTCGCGACTCGTAGACCCGCCGCCGCCGCCGCGGCCACTTCACCTCCAGCAACCACTCCACTCCACCGACACTTGCAGTCACCAGAGTAGCTCACCGTCGGATCCACACCACCAGGGTTGCGCCGCCTGCAGAGCATCACGGGAGACGCATCCGCACAGCCTTCACCGCCGCCCACCATGGCTTTGCCCTCTCCGCCTCCAAGCTCGGACGGTGATGAAGTAAGGTGAGAAACTAAGACTCCATCACTCCATGTAGCCTACACTCCTACACTTTGCACAAGCGTGTCTTAGTCCTCCCTCGAGATTTTGCCTATCGGGCATGGGCGGGGTATGGGCTATGGTTGCGTGCCTGCGTCGTTCTCGTTCACTCACTACCCCACGTCCGGCGGTCCTCGCGAAGGGACGCCATGGATTTGGATCAGCCACCAAATGCTATGCCGGCTACTAGATCCGTTGTGTTGGCGCCTGCTGTAGCCATTGTCGCTTCTGCAACAGCAAAGGGACGACCTCCAAAGCCTCAAATGAAAAAGTCCACGACCAAGACGCCGTCTTGCAATTGAAGGAGCTCCTGCTCCGACCACTCTAGAAGCATCAATCGATGGTGGCCTCGGGCTACTAAAATACATAGGGTCGGTTTTAATCTCGCTAACCTTCTTCTCTCATTAGCTTGTTTATATTAACATTTTTGCATGTGTAAACTATATTCCATGGCTATGATTTATGAATGAATGCAACTAAAATCCATGGTTCTGAATCATTTAGTTAAAACTTCATATTATTATTGAATGTATGTGTGTGTAACGATTTACATAGTATGCTACAATGTTCATATTTATATTCTATGCTCTGAGCTTCAGATTATTACAACATGTTTTTGTGCATTTTCTTTATGTTTGCATATTTCATATATAGTCGCAGATTTCATTCATATTTATTTGTTAATTATCAAATTCACTATGAACGCAACTCGAGGCAGCGGGAGTAGCAGCCAACAAGATTCACAATCACTTCCACCACATACTAAATCTGTTAATGATTCTGAGCCGATACAAATTGATGACGATGAGTCCGAAGACATAGACTTTGGCACTAAGAGAAGTTGACTTCTGTTGGAATGATTTCAAGAAGGTCAAAGTATGTGGTATTGTGAAGGCTCAATGCCTTCATTGCCACAAGCAGCTTGGAGGGAAAAGCACAAATGGGACAAGGCATCTACATGATCATTTAAAAATCTGCACACTTAAAAAGATAAGCTAAAGGGTCAGCAGAAGACACTTGAACAATTAGCCTTGAGGTTCGGTTCCAAAGGAGGGAAAATATCAGTGGAGAATTATACATTTGATCCAAAAGTTGCTAGGAAGGAGCTTGCTTGCCATGATTATACTGCATGAGTATCCTTTATGTATTGTTGACCATGCTGGCTTTCGAAGGTTTGTGAGTGCACTGCAGCCATTATTCAAGATGATGACTAGAAACAATATTAGGTAATATTTGGCATCACCTAGCTGTAATTTTTGTGTGTGTTTGCACTAAAGTTTTATTCTAATTTTTTAACCTTTTCTTGCTGTAATTTTTAGGAAGGATATTATTAATACATATGTGGAAGAAAAGAAAAAGGAACTATCCTACATGGCTGGAACTAAGTCAAGAGTTGCTATTACTACTGACTTGTGGACCTCGGATAACCAAAGAAGAGGGTACATGGCTATTACAGCTCATTTCATTGATGATTCATGGACACTTAGAGACATTATCATGAGGTATTTCATCAAAAATGATTTTATTTCTTGCTGCTATCATATTCAGTTTATTGTCTTGATAAAATATTGTTGTTGTCGTGTATTTTTAGGTTTATCTATGTCCCAGCTCCACACACGGCTGAAGTTATCAGTGAAGTGCTCTATGAAGCATTGGTGGAGTGGAACTTAGATGAAAAGATCTCGATTTTGACTCTTGATAACTGTAGCACTAATGATAAGGTAATCCCTGAACTTGTCAAGAAGATAGGCAAATCAAAGCTAATGTTGGATGGAACTGTTGCATATGCGTTGTGCTGCCCATATTCTAAACTTGATTGTGAGGGATGATTTAGAGGTGATAAATGATTCAATTGCAAAAATTCGTAAGTGTTGCCTATTGGACAGCCACACCTAAAAGAATAGAGAAATTTAAAGAAATTGCTAAACATGTCAAAGTAAAATTAGAACACAAAGGCCTTGATTGCAAGACTAGGTGGAACTCTACCTTCAAGATGCTTAGCATTGCAATGCCTTACAAAGCTGTTTTTAGTTGTGCATCAATTGTTGACAAGTTGTATGATTGTGCACCTAGTGAAGAAGGATGGGATTTTTGTAGAGAGGTAGTTGGTAGACTCAAGTTGTTTAATGATATTACAACAATATTTTTTAGGACAAATTATGTGACAGCCAATATTCATCTTCTTAAAATCTGTGAGCTAAAGAGCAAATCAGAAAATAGAGTGTATGTGGCAATCCCATTATAGAGAAAATGTCG